CCCGCAGGCCGCCGCCGCCGCCGCCTAGCGGCCGGTCTCCCGTGCCCTTTGGCTTTCCCACAGCTTGTGGACTACCGAGTGGAGTTCAGCAGGTGGTGGATCAACGAGTTCAAGACCATCAAGTTCCCCTCGCAGGGGACCATCTTCGACTACTACATAGACCCCGACACCAAGAAGTTCCTGCCCTGGACGGACAAGGTGCCCTCCTTCGAGCTGGACCCTGACGTCCCCCTGCAGGTACGTCCCCCGAGCGCGAGGCCACCGGCACGGACCGGGCTCGGCCCGCGGTGGCACCTGGGTGAGGCGTGGGGTGAGGCCACCGCCCGGCCGGCGGCACCGCAGGGAAGTGGCCAGGCCCCGCCCCGCAGGCCTCCCTCGTGCACACCGCGGAGACCATCCGCATCCGCTACTTCATGGACCTGCTCATGGAGAAGTCGTGGCCCGTGATGCTGGTGGGGAACGCGGGGACCGGCAAGTCGGTGCTGATGGGGGACAAGCTGGAGAGCCTCAACACCGACGACTACCTGGTGCAGGCGGTGCCCTTCAACTTCTACACCACCTCGGCCATGCTGCAGGGTGAGGCCCAGGCTGCCGGTGGCCGGCCGGTGGGGCCAGGAGGGGCCGGGGCGGGGCCGGGGCGGGACCGGAGGCGGGGAAAGGGCGGGACCGGGAACCAGCGTCAGGGGAGGGGAGGGGCCTATAGGGGCGGGGCCAGGGTGGGGGCGGGGCCGGGAAGGGGAGGAAGGGCTGGGCTGGAGTGATGGTGAGACCAAGTGGGGGTGCAGAGGGGGGCTGGGCTGTAGGGTGGGTCTGAGATCACCCAGTGCCTGGTCATGGCTCTAGGGGTTCTGGAAAAACCACTGGAGAAGAAATCAGGGCGGAACTACGGGCCGCCGGGCACCAAGAAGCTGGTCTACTTCATCGACGACATGAACATGCCCGAGGTGGACAAGTACGGGACGGTGGCCCCGCACACCCTCATCCGGCAGCACATGGACCACGGGCACTGGTGCGTTGTCCCTGCCTCACCCCGAGTCCCAGGCCACAACACCGCCCAGTTTGTTTTGTTCCGCCCCAAGGCGTCATTGCTGGGGAGCACGGGGGGGGCTCCCCCAGGACGGTGGTCTCCCCACAGGTACGACAGACAGAAGCTGACGCTCAAGGACATCCACAACTGTCAGTACGTGGCTTGCATGAACCCCACTTCCGGGTCCTTCACCATCGACCCCCGACTCCAGGTCAGCAGGGTCAGGCAGGTCGGAGCCTGGTGTGAGCCGGGAGGTGGCGGCGCCGGCCGGGGGGGCGCTCGGGAGGGCTCCCCAGGCTGCAGAAGGCATCAGGAGCCCCCGGAGGCCTGGGCGAGCCGAGCGGTCACCCAGCCCCCACCCCGCCACGGCCCCTGAGAGCTGCCACGTCCGGCAGTGAGATGCAGATGCCGGCGGGTCTGGGCCCAGACACAAACTGGCCG